TATACAAGTTACCCAATTGTTAAATAAGGACATGCATGAATAGGATGTCAAGAAAAATACAAATGATAAACAAAGGGAAAAAAATGTGTTTCATCAAAAAACAAGAGACAAAATTTTTTTTTACTCATCAAATTAGCACAAGTCAGAAACTGATATTATTCCACACTGGCTGGGGCAAAAGACACACCACTTACAAAGTTGGGTGCCCCATAATTGTTTGGGAAAGCTTTACCCTAAGAAAATAATCATAAATACAGATGCTTCATGCTCTGAAGCATTCACTGTAATGTTATGTATAAAAAAATTCTAATGGAAGACAGATTTCCTCTGAAATAGTTCATATATTCATAAACACTCATGCATTCAATTTATAAAGAAGATATATTTGTTCCAAGACAAAATTACAGGCATGATCATAGATAGCCACTGGAAGCCAAATGAGATACTTTAAAACAACAATAAAAAAAATCTAAACTAAAATGTTAACAAAAATTGTCAGGGAAATGGGATATAGACAATACTTTTCTCCTTAATGGCTTAAGTTATAAACTTTTAAATGTCAACTTCTTACCATTTATGTTGCTTTCACAGCTGGAGTTTTTTTAGACCTTAACTTGAAGTATAAGATAATCAAAGCAATGCCTCCATATGTGGCCAGTACACACTGAAAAAAAAAAAGAATAAGGTAAACAAGAGTTCTGTCATATCTATATTATTCTAAAATATAACTGCTTAAAGGTATCATTAATACTTACATTCATTCTACCTGTGAGAGTATAAGAGTTGAAATATTTTTTAATACCAGTGAACTGGAATTGGGCATCAGTTTCTGGACCTGCCATGATTCCAATCTTTTAAAAAAAAGAAAGCAACAATAGATTGGTTTGGATGCAATTTAAAAGAAAATAAGTTCTGCTTTTTTTTTTAGTTAAAAAATTTGAAGTCATTGCATATAAATACCATAAATTTTTATCTATGTCTTACCCAACACAGCAGTAGCAAAGATGGTGGAAAAAGCCTTGCTGGTAAGAGAAGCTTTTGGAAGTAGGGTTTTACCTTAGTTGCTGTTTCATGAATGCTCAGCAGAGGAAGAGAACGCAGTCCACTCTCTGACCCAATAGAACTTAATGTTTTCATTCCTGGCTCTATCCAGACCATGGTACATTGTACATTGAATTAACCAGTTTTGTTTTGTTTTTTTTTCAAAGCCAGTCAAATTTAGCAGTGGGGGGTTGAATACCAACTTTAGTGACACTAATGTTAATAAGTTCTGATAACCCACTACCATCGGACCAGCCTGAATTAACCAGTTTTAAAACTATTGCAAACTTGGAGCTTGTGGTATTTTGCAAAGTTTCACAGAGGGGTGACCACCAACTAAACAGCTCAACTCGTAATACCCACTTTTACAATTTTTCTTGTTATAAATAATTTAGGATCTCCATGGGATGGGGGAGAAGGGATCATTTACTAAATGGAGTTGATACTAGCCACTGGTGGTGGTGGGGAAGATGGAATCCTCACTCCTTACACCAAAATAGACAAAAGATTTAAATGTGAATAGCAAAACCAAAAAGTCCTGAGAGAAAACATCTGCAAATATTTTAATCATCTTAGAGAAGGGAAAATATTAAGAAAGGAATGCCAAAAACAAAAAGGCAAAATATAAAAGGATAATCAACCTCAACCATCAATGAAATGTAAAATAAAACCAGTATTTAACCATCAAACTGGTAAAGATAAAATTACGATAATAAGCAGTATTATTAAGAATGTGGGGCCTGGTGCAGTGGCTCAGGCCTGTAATCCTAGCACTCTGAGAGGCCAAGCCGGAAGGATTGCTTGAGGTCAGGAGTTCTAGACCAGCCTGAGCAAGAGTGAGACCCCATCTCTACTAAAAACAGAAAAATTAGCTGGGCATCGTGGCATGTGTCTGTAGTCCCAGCTACTTGGGAGGCTGAGGCAGGAGGATTACTTGAGCCCAGGAGTTTGAGGTTGCAGCGAACTACGACGACGCCACTACGCTCTACCTAGGGTGATGGAGTGAGACTTTAAAAATAGGTATTCTCTGTTGCTTGTTGCTTGGAGTGTTAACTGGTACAACTTTCCTCAAGTGCAATTTGGCAGTTACTATCAAATTATAAAATGAGTAAAACACTCTTTTATCTGTTTCATTTTTTTCTCCAGGAATTTACCCTTACTGAGACTTTACAAAGTAGAAACACATTATATGGTTCAAGAATGGTCACTGAAATACCATTTGTGAAAGTAAAAAACTGGAAAAACTAAAAGTCCACCTATAGGAGACTGATAAATAATGGTTTCTATTGGAGGAAATACAATGTGCATAGACCTTTGTGTACTGACATGGAAAGATGTCCCCAAGTAATGTGAAATATTTAAAAAATCCTATTTCTGGATATTATATAGAGCACATCAATGGTTCTCAAAGTCTGGCCTCTAGACCAGCAGCATTAGCATTACTAGAGACTTGTTAGTACAAGTTTCTCAGGCCCCATCCCAGCCTACTGAATCAAACTCCGGGGCCTAGCAACCTGTTTTAATAAGGCCTTTAGGTAATTCTGATGCACACTGAAGTTTGCAGTAATAGAAACAGAAAAACAAATAGTAAGTATATAGAAAAAAAACCCTGGAAGAATATATATCAAACTTTTAAGAGGAGTTAATCTGTAATACCTGTGTATTTTACAAAGGTGGGTATTTCTTTTATAATAAAAAATAGCAAAGACATATTCAAAAGGTCACCAGAACAAGAGTTGAAAATTCGTATGTATGACCGCCTATCTACCACGACCGACGCCACGCCGAGTCGATTGGCAATATAGACGAGCCGGTCGAGGTCCGGTCGAGATTGGTAGGCAGTGGCAGCGACTCAGCTGGCTCTAGATGAAATGCAAGAGGGAGAGATCTGTGAGGGAGTCATTGCTTTGGAACTGGAACTCCGGGGTTTACCATTCAAAGGCCTTCAGAGGCATTCTTGTGCAAGAATTAGCAATGAAAATTTGAGACAAATGACCTTAATTTCGAACACTGTTTCAAGAAGGTTATTGGAGCAACGAAAAAAATCCAAACTTCCTTAGGTCCCCTCAGAGGCCTTGACCAAGTCTAGCCCAAATAGGAAAATCTCCACTAAAAAACTTTTATGTCTCCTTCCAAGACAAAGGAAAAAAAAAAAACAACTTTATGATGTAGCTCTTATAGCAACTGTTTCATTTTACTAAACTTATTAAAGGCATACTTTTTTACCCATTCATTTCATGATACATTTTTGGATTCATTTCTTATGACATGAAGTAGGTTTTTAGGAGAAACCCTACAGAAAACAAGGGCTTAACTTTATCAAATCATTAACTGATAACCCCCACTACCTTGCATCTAACAAAACTTTTTAGGAGACTATGTCCAACAATATCAAGATGCTTTAAATTTCCCTCTAATTTACACAATATGGGAGGAAGGCTGATGTTCATAACATCCCACAGAAGACTAATTCTGACTGCAGGGAAGGGCATGATATGAGAAATTTAGTCTGGGTCTTTAAAAAAAGGAGGACTCTTAAAATGTTGAGATGGAGAGAGAGTGGGGAAGGGGGGTGTTGCTGGCAAGATAAATAATAGGAGTAAGCTCAAAAAAGTTGGGTCTGCACCCTTCAGCAAACTGCAGATTACTCTAAGGCAAAGATCAGGAACCTCTGTGTTAGAGTGGCCTTTTTAAGACTCACAAGTGTGATTTAATGTTGTTAAGTGGCGGCCTGTGGGTAAGTCTAAGGGAACTAGGCCTTTGTTTTTGTTCCTAATTAAGCCACTAACTGCTACTAAATATTAAGGAATCCCTCCATACCTCTCTCCACCTGTAAAATGGACATTTCATTAAAGGCCCAAAGTGACCACTAGCCCTTGCTACTTTCTATGTTCCTCGATATTGCTATTCTCTTATCTGACTAGACACCTACCTAGAATGGTGAGACCACGAGGTTAAGAAGGCAAAGACGAATGAGAGCCGCTCAGGTATCAGAAGCAGCCTCTTGCACGACAAAGAGTTTACAGCTCTCTGTTCTGGCTACTCCCTAGGAAAGGCCTTCCTGCTGACCGTATAAAGACTGAAATCTAAGCCGTTTACCGCGGGCCTCGTGAACTGCAAAGGCTGGGCCACACTCTCGCTTTGATGAAGGCTGCAGCGCAGCTAAAGGAGGCCTGGATGGCCAACTTCCTAAATATAGTGGAAACAGCTAGCGGCACAGAGAGGAAAGGAGATTAATTTATCAGAGATGGGGTCAGAAACCCGAGTCCTCGATCAATCAGAGGATGACCTTGAGGGACTCCCTCTGTGGAAGGCCTCATTCTTCTTCATTAGAAAATGCAATCTAAGGGTCCTCGGGAACTGTGGGAACCTTTGGGCGCGCCTTTCTGCCTCGCCTCGAGGCTTCTCACCCACTGCCCGCCCCCTCGCGCCCGCCCTCGTTTTCCCTAGCTCCTGTGCCATTCCCCGCCGGTCTTGCCCTCCAAAGCGAAGACCTCGCGGAGTCCCCCGACCAAAATCGGTCAGATTCTAGGCCGGCCCCGCAAAAGCGGAGGCGCGAGGTCTGAGCCCCCATCCTCACCCACCTCACCAAAGCCACAAATTCCGCAGCCAGTGTCCTTCAACGTTCGCAGCCCCCTTTCGCCCCAGCCGGAAGAAGCCGCCTCCCCTCGATGCGTTCGACCGGCCACGGGAGCTTTCTACGACGATTGGCTACGGCTTGAAGTCCCGCCTTTCCGCTTCCTGTCGCCATATCGCCTCCCCAGCCCTGCGAGACGCAACATAGCAACGGAAGTAGGGCATTGAGGCCGCCCATGCTTCCGGAAGAGTGGCATTGAGTTGTAGGAATCCTGCTTTCCGCGTGTGTGTTTACGGCGGCGCGGGCTCGGCGGTAGAGAGGTGCTGGCGCCGCGGGGAGGGTGAGTAAGGGCAGAGGCGAGAAGGAAGGAACCTCATGGTTCTCAGGCCTGTCCCAGGGCAGGGTCCGCTGGTCCCTGCCAAGCATCTGCCGTGCCCGGTGAGTGGTTCGGCCACCTGACCCCCACTCTGAAGCCGGCTCTGTTCACGCAGCCCCTGAAACCCCAGACTCTTTCTCCGGGAAGTAGCTTAAGCCCCTTCTCTGCCCCTGGATCGCCTTACTTTTTGGAGCCTCAATTTCCCTTTGTTTGATATAACATTAAGGGTCAAATTCCCAGCAAACTGGACAGACCCCTTGCACTTTCCTATTTCTACGCAGCATATATCCATTCCTGATTCCAAATCCTTGGCTACCTCTGGGTCGTCACTTCTACAGTCTCAAGCCCTTCTAGATTCTTATTCCCAGGTGTCTCTCACACCTAACCCCTCCTGTCTTCTTTTCTCATTGAAACCTAGTTCTGGTTCTCATGGTTTCTGTGCTGTATTGCATTTGAATCCTTCCTCCCGATTTACTTGCCTTCAGTCCTATCTCTCTTCTGTCCAATATACAGCCCGAAGTAAATTTTTCTTGGTTACTATTCTGTTGCTTTCCCTCCTTAAGGCTCTCACTTGTCAAAGTAAACATAAACTACTCAGATCTAATTCAAGGTCTTCACAGAAAAGCAGAACCTCTCTTTAAGATTCATCTCCAATTACTGTGCTTTATTCTCCTTGTGGTCTAGTGGAACAATTCTACAAGACAGGCAACAGCAAGACTTTGAACAATTGTTTAATAGGCAAATTGCTGACATTTATTGAAATAACAGGCTTTCCCATTTCTGTGCCTTTTCTCACATTCCGTTTCTTCCTGTCAAGCTCTTATTCATCTTTTAACACTCAGCTCAAAAGAAACTTCTTTATGAAGCTTGTCTCCTTTTACTGAGGGCTCATCACTTCCTACCTTTGTTGATAGTTTATAATCCAATTTGTATGTTAAATTACTTGCATAATTGTTTTATCTTGTAAAAAACGTGCATGTTCTTTGAAAGTCGGGGGTTATATGTTCATTTGTGTATGTCTGACCTAACTGTAGCTATTTAATGAGTATTGACTATGTTGGATCTGTAACTCTTTTTCTGGAAGAAGGCGTGTGGACTTTTGGTTTTAAAGCAGAGACCTTTGGAAAGATGCATAGATTATTAGGGGCCTGACATCTCAACCATCTGTGTCATAGTGCTTAATATTATCTAACACATTGCTAGAATATTCTACGTCTTGCTCATTGATCACAGCTTTTATGAAATCTGCCACCATTGTTACATCTCACTATTACTCTTTGCATTGTTTTTAGAGACCCAAACATGGCATCCCTGGAAGAAAGCTTCCCTCGAGGGGGTACAAGAAAGATCCACAAATCAGAGAAGGCTTTCCAGCAGTCAGTTGAACAAGACAACTTATTCAATGTAAGAGTTATGCTTATTTGGTGAGACTCACTGGAAACTTTCACTCCAGTGTCTTGTAAAGGATGGGCCTTATTTGAGAATATGTTATTTTCTAGGTTTATTTCTTGTTGAAGTTCATTTCTATAAATTGAACTTGTTAGAGAGGCCATACCACAAGGCTGTATCTTTTGGAGCATGGTATTTAGTATTTGAGTTTGAAGTGCTATTGTTCCTTGTTCTTAGGGACTCTGTGCATGTTGATTAAAGATGGAGAGGAAGTGGTTTGATCATTGCTTTTTTTTTTTTTAATTTTTTTTTCAATTTCTGCATATTGTGGGGGTACAAATGTTTAGGTTACGTTGCCCTTGCCGCCCCCTCCCCCCATGATCATTGCTTTTTTGTTTGTTTGTTTTAAGAGAGGAGGTCTCACTCTGTTACCCAGGCTGGACTCAAACCCCTGGGCTCAAGCAGTCCTCTTGCGTCTGCCTCCCAAGTAGCCTGGACTAGCTAGGACTACTGGCATGAGCCACTGCATCCTAACTGATCATTGCATTTTTAAATGGGGTCCTTGCCACCTGTAATGGTTAAAGTTTACATTGGAATTTGCAGTCTTGCCTAGACTAGGCTGTGCTCCAAATGCTAGGGGAAGGGAACTAACATTTGAATGTGTGGCTTAATATCTGTACCATATTATATAATTTTTCCAACTATACTATGAAGTATAAACTGAAATTCCATGATGAGGACCTGAGGCTCAGAGAGGTTATATAATTTAGGTGAAACCACTTAGCTTGTTATGGTAGAGTTGGGAGTTTAACTTGGGTCTCTGTGACTCCAACTTCCATATTCATGCACTGGAGAACCCTAGTGTTCATCCCAGTCAAGAGAGGAAGAACACAGGAGAAAAGAGACTTTAGGAACATGAAGGGGGCTTCTAAGACCTTGGGAAAAAGAAGCATTGGTGGCCGAATGGGAGAGTTGGGATTGAAGCAAGAATTAAAGGAACAGTTGGGAGTGGGGCAGGGTGGAGTGGAGTAGGGGAGTAACACAGCAAGGAGACAGATGACCTGAAATGGGAGGAAAAGGCCAGGGTTGCTTCTTACTCTTTTGCATCTTTGTGGGTCTTTCTTCCCCTTTAGATTTCTACTGAAGAGGAATCCACCAAAAGGAAAAAGAACCAGAAAGGACCAGCAAAAACAAAAAAGTTGAAAATCGAGAAGAGAGAAAGCAGCAAGTCTGTAAGAGAGAAGTTTGAAATCCTTAGTGTTGAGGTTTGTTAAAGTTTGGATTTTCTTTAAACTACCTTGTTTGCTTAAGTTTGTGTATGTTCTTCCTTCCGTCTTCTTTTTTTCTTTCATTCTTTTCTCTCTTTTTTGTGTGTGTCTCTAGAGATTCTTGCCATTTTTGCTGAGAATTGAGCATTATTTCCTTTGATTGTTAACCAGGGCCTGGGGTCTTTTTTTTTCTTTAAAGCTGCCATGGGCTTCTTTGTGTCCTCATGGCACTTGTGTTTTTATAAATTCAGACGTTAGAACTGACACTAACTTTAGCAATCATTCTAATCCTACCCATTCATTTCATAGATGTGAAACTATCTCAGAGAAGTGAAGTGGTCTCACTGTGTTTTTAGATTATGACTCCAATATGTTAGTTGTAAAAAAGAAAAAATGTCAAATGATTCTGAAGGGAAAGATTCAGATTCATTCCTGTATGATACTTTTTAAAAAATTATTTAGCTTGGTGCCAACATTAGGAAACTAAACCTTTTACATAAAAAAAATGTGATTTTTGGCTTCTCATAAAAATTGGAAAGTGCTGACAAGAAAAGGTCCATGTTCCCTCATGTTTGTAGTGACAAGGAGCTGAGTAGTGGTTGTACCCGTTGTAGCCAGCATGCACACTCTAGACTGCCTGCCATTGCCTCCACTGGCCTACCTCCTTCATTGTGTTGTCTGCTAAGCATTTGAGTTTGGGTTGTTTGGAATAAAGTAAAAAGCAAAAGTGTCCTCTAGCATCCCAGTGCTGTTAACACTGTTGCGTAATCTAGACCTTTGACAGTGCTCAGTTAGATATTTGAGAAGTGCACGGACATGCAGACACACGTATGTATTTCTTTTCATTTACAAAATTCCCATAGCTTTTAAATGTCAGAGTTGGGACTAGAAGCCAGACCTCCTAACTCCCCGATCCTTCTTGTCTTCCTTATTGTACATATTTCACTTTTTTTCTCTTCTAGTCCCTGTGCGAGGGAATGCGGATTTTAGGTTGCGTGAAAGAGGTAAATGAATTAGAACTGGTGATCAGTCTCCCCAATGGCCTCCGGGGATTTGTGCAAGTAACTGAAATCTGTGATGCTTACACCAAAAAGCTGAATGAGCAGGTGGCACAAGAAGAACCTCTGAAGGTAAGGGAAACCTGGATGAAACCTGTTACTGGAAATAAGTGAAACACAAATAGTTGTAAAATTACAACTTTGCTAAATGCTAAGAAGGAAAGGTGTAAGGTGCTATGAGAGTTTATAGTAAGGGGATTTTTTTTTTTTTTTTTTTGAGACAGAGTCTCACTTTGTTGCCCGGGCTAGAGTGCAGTGCCCGGGCTAGAGTGCTGTAGTGTCAGCCTGGCTCACAGCAACCTCAAACTCCTGGGTTCAAGCGATCCTCCTGCCTCAGCCTCCCGAGTAGCTGGGACTACAGGCATGCGCCACCATGCCCGGCTAATTTTTTCTATATATTTTTAGTTGTCCAATTAATTTCTTTCTAATTTTAGTAGAGACGGGGTCTCACTCTTGCTCAGGCTGGTTTCTAACTCCTGAGCTCAAACAATCCACCTGCCTCAGCCTCCCAGAGAGCTAGGATTACAGGCATGAGCCACTGCGCCTGGCCAGTAAGGGGATTTTTGACTTAGTCCAGGAAGCCTGGAAGACTTTGCTGAGGAAGAGATGCTTGAGCTGAGATCAGAAGAATCACGGTTCCTTAGGTAAAGAAGGAAGGGAGTTCTGGCAGAAGCTGCACAGTATGTAGCAGAGAGAAGGCTAGTATGGCTAGAAAGGGAGAGCAAGGGAGAGTGTGGTGTGGAATGGTCTGGAGAGCTAGGTGGGGGCCAGGTTGTGTACAGTTTTGCAGACTATGTTAAACACAGGGTTTTGTTGTTGTTATTTTTTTTGGAGACAAGAGTCTCGCTCTATTGCCCGGGCTAGAGTGCTGTAGTGTCAGCCTGGCTCACAGCAACCTCAAACTCCTAGGCTCCAGTGATCCTTCATTTTCAGCCTCTTGAATAGCTGGGACTTCAGGTGCTCCCCACCACACCCAGCTAACTTTTTCTATTTTTAGTAGAGACAGAGCCTCACTCTTACTCAGGCGGGTCTGGAACTCCTGAGTGCAAGCAATCCTCCCATCTTGGCCTCCCAGAGTGCCAGGATTACAAGTGTGAGCCACTGCGCCTGGCTGACAACTCTTGACCAGTTATTTTACATCTGCCTGTTATGTGGAAATATTTGGATGCCTTGTGTTGGAATTCAAGACTCTGACTTGGCCATAGACCCATCTTCCTTTGGGGGTGAGCGGTTATTCATCCACCTTTTAGATTCTTTGTGATCTAAGGAAGAGAAGCCACTGAGCTGAGGCTGGGCAGTGGATTTTTGGTTCAGGGAAAGGATATGTATCAGGTCTTTCTCATTTGTATCATGCAGGATCTACTCCACTTGCCTGAACTTTTCTCACCTGGAATGCTGGTGAGATGTGTGGTGAACAGTGTGGGCATCACAGAGAGGGGGAAAAGGAGTGTGAAGCTATCTCTGAACCCCAGAAACGTCAATAGAGTGCTGAGTGCTGAGGCCCTGAAGCCTGGCATGGTATGTACCTGGGGTCAGGGAAGAGGAGCAGGCAACATGCCGTCTGCCTGCTCTGCCTCCTGGGGAGTGTGGTCTAGGCCACCGTTTACTTTCAGCTTAACTGTTACATGCAGGAGTGGGTCTTTTTGTGGAAGGAAGATCTTCTGGGTGCTTTGATTACTAAATGGACAGAGCCACATTACTTCCCATGAAATGTAAAGGAGAATGTGCCTCGGAGGTGCTTAGAAAAGACATAATGTGACAGCTAGAAGGGTAGTTCTGGATTCTCTCATTAATCATGGCTCTGGGAGTGACCTTGCAGGGCCTAGCAGTTTATCCCTCTTTGCATAACGTAAAAATCTTTCCTATCTTTTGAAAAATCTCCAGGTGAGAGACTCCTCTCTCGTGCCATTATTCAACTGTGTTTAACACTCCTCACAGTCTGGAAGCCGAAAGATCCTTCAAGGCCTCGGAGAATTAAAGTTGATGTCTGTCCTCTAGTGGGATTGTGGTTTCAAGTTAAAAGTGGGGGGTGACATGATGGGAGAGTGCATAGAGATTAATGGTGGGAACATTCACATTTGGATGTTTGGATGTTTGTTGTGTTCCCATTACCTTTGACTCGGAACTTTTGGGAATACTTTCTCTTCGCTCAGTTGCTCACAGGCACTGTGTCCAGCCTGGAAGACCATGGCTACCTAGTGGACATTGGTGTTGATGGGACCAGAGCATTTTTGCCACTGCCAAAAGCCCAGGAGTACATCCGACAGAAGAACAAAGGTGAGGGCGGAAAGAGGGGCCCGTACGTGGCACTGAGGTGGTACCTGTGGGGATTATATTTAAGTGCTACTTAGATGAGTAACGTGACGCTGATTCAGAGAGGTGACCCTGGAGGCTGTGTGGCTTTGGTAAAATCAGCGGTTAATCCTAGCTGATAGGTAAGGGAAGATATGTGAAGAGCCAGGGAGTGGCAGGGTCTCACTACGATCTAAAGGACCAGTGTCAGTTTTGCTCACCAGAAGATTCCACTGGAATTTGGGCTTTATAGGGCCTCTGAACTAGCACTCTCCTGACTTGTTGAGATTTTCTTATTTTTGTGGGGTAATTGAATTCCAGATCAAGGTAATTGAATTCCAGATCAAGGTAACTTCATTCTCTTCTTGTAGTTGGCCCCTTAGAGATGGGAAGTATGGGTGGTAGTATTAGATGCTAATTGGACAGGTAGGTCATGGATCTTTTCAGATACTGCTTGGGCCCGAGTTAAATGTCCTTATCATTGAACTATTTTTCCTTTTGGGGGTTGGGCTTACAGGTGCTAAATTGAAGGTGGGTCAGTACCTGAACTGTGTCATTGAAGAGGTGAAAGGCAACGGAGGAGTTGTCAGTCTATCTGTTGGTCATGCAGAGGTTTCTACTGCCATTGCTACTGAGGACCAAAACTGGACCCTTAATAACTTGTTACCAGGACTTGTAGTCAAAGCCCAGGTACAGAAGGTAAGCTGTTCATTGTTACTACTATTTTTTTAAAAGTAAAAATAATTTTTATTAAAGTATTACATGCATACAATCCACAATTACTGCCTGGTAGGGCCACTGGTCACATGTGGCCATTGAGCACTTGAAATGTGGCCAGTGCCATGTATTGAAATGATAATATTTTGTATATAATGGGTTGAATAAACTATTATTAAAGTAAATTTCATCTGTTTATAGTTTTAAAATGTGACTGCTGGAATTAAAATTACATATATGGCTTCCATTATATTTCTATTGGGCAGTGCTGATCTGAAAGGTCACATGGTATTAAAAGGCTTATAATGAAGAACTTATCCCTTCCAACTCCCATCTTTAACTGTTTTAGCTTATCTTTTGAAATTTCCCTCCATATTTTTGAGTGATAAGCTTCTGCTTGTATCTCTTGGTTTATCAATTTTAGATGTTGGGTTTTAACTTCTTATCAGGATAGATGAAGATTTGCCTCTCTTAATCTTCTCTTCCCCTCCCACAACCTACCAATATAGGTGTATTAAAGTTTTGATTTAAATCAGTATTCATTGTTTAAAATACTATGTGTAAATATTGTTTACTGCTGAGCTAGGTGATACACTATGGCCATTTCTTTTTTTTAGGGGTCAGGGGTTGTGAGGAGGGGTGTTCAGTTGCCTTGTTTGTTTTTGTTGAGACAGAGTCTCACTGTGTCGCCCTGGGTAGAGTGCAGTGTCATCATCGTAGCTCACTGCAACCTCAAACTCCGGGACTCAAGTGATCCTTCTGCCTCAGCCTCCAGGTAGCTGGGACTACAGGCGCTTGCTGCAATGCCCAGCTGTTTTTTTTTTTTTAACTTCTTTTTGGTAGAGATGGGGTCTCACTCTTGCTGAGGCTAGTCTTGAACTCTTGAGTTGAAGCAATCCTCCCGCGTTGACCTCCCAGAGTACTAGAATTACAGGCATGAGCCACTACGCCCGGCTTTCTATGACTATTTCTTGAACAGCTTTCTTCCCTGGAGCTGGTAATCAGCTTTGTTTTAGCCATTTGCTAAATTCTCTTCTATCTATCAATCACTATTTCATCCTGTACCCTCTGCTTATTTTCTTCTCACTGTAATTCTCCATGCTTTCAAACCCTTTAAATAATCTATTAGTTACTTTTCCCCCCACCTGGTGCCCCTTTTGCTATCATCCTGCTCCACTCCGGTGTGGAATGGTTGCTCTGTAGGGCTGCTGCATAGCTGATATCCTAGGACTTCCTTTCCCTCTCTCTTGTCTGTATTGGAGCCTTCTTTGATCTCATGTATTCTTTTTGGGTTTATTCCCCATTTTTGTGTGGCATGTTACCCAGAAGCATCCTCCAAAAGATACATAGAATGTTAATTTCTTGACTGAATATGTAGGGGATCCCCAAGACCACACCGAGGTCTGATGCTTTTCTAGGAGGACTTGCAGGACTCAGCATATGGTTGTATTCACAGCTAAGATTTATTACAGAGAAAGAATGCAAAGTAAAATCAACAAAGGGAAGAGGCACATGGGGTGAAGTCTGGAAGAAACCAGGCACAAGCATCCCAGGTCCTCTCCCGGTGGAGTCCCAAAGGATGTCCTCAATTCCTCCCACAAGTTATGACAACATATGTGAAATGTTGTTTACCAGAGAACTTCCTCAGAGACTTAAGGGTTTTTATCAGCGTTGGTCAAATAGGCACCCTCTCCCTGGCTTATACCAAAATTCCAGACTTCCATAAGGAATGTGGGTGTTTAGCAAACTGTATTGTTTACACAGTTTAGGTGTAATGAGCCATTCTTATCAGTTTTGGAAATGGTGAGAACCCTCCTGAAATCTAAGTTCCCAGACACCAGCCAAGGGCAACCTTGTAAGCAGGCTTTTCTAAGGATTGCAGTCTCAGGCCTGCTGTGTTAACTCTCTTCTGCACATCTAGCATGTCTGAAAATATCTTTATTCCACTCTCACATGTGATTGGCAGTTAAAGTGGGTTTAGAATTCTAGGTCAAAAATAACTCATTCAGAATTTTGAAATCATTTTTCCTATCGTCGTCTGGTCTCTGTTGAAAATTCTGATGTTATTTTCATTTTTCTTCCTTTGTATATATTTTTTCCCTTTGGAAGAATTCAAGGGTCTTGTCTTTATCCCTTTTATTCTAAAATGTCATGATGGCTGGGTGCGGTGGCTCACGCCTGTAATCCTAGCACTCTGGAAGGCCGGAGGCAGGAGGATTGCTTGAGCTCAGGAGTTCAAGACCAGCCTGAGCAAGAGTGAGACCCTGTTTCTACTAAAAATAGAAAAATTAGCCGGATATGGTGGCACGTGCCTATAGTCACAGGTACTCGAAAGGCTGAGGCAGGAGGATCGCTTGAGCCCAGGAGTTGCAGACTGCAGTGTGCTACGATAACGCCACTGCACTCTACCCAGGGCGACAGAGTGAGACTCTGTGTCAAAAAAAAAAACAACAAGGCCGAGCTCGGTGGCTCACGCCTGTAATCCTAGCACTCTGGGAGGCCGAGGCGGGTGGATCG